GCTGAGATAACTCGCTCAAAGTTGTTTTTTAAAATAGCAAAACGTAGAAGCTGCGTCAAATTTTTCTTAAAACTTTGAGCAAAGTGAAGAACAACCACCTGATCAAATTTGATGATTTTTTTTTATTTGAATTCTATTGACCTATAGAATTCAAATAAAAAAAATCTTCATCGAATTTGATTAGGTGGTTGCTGAAATATCTTAAAGTTTTAGGAAAAATTTGGCGCATTAAACATTTTGACATTTTTAAAAAACCTTGAGCGATAATATCTCAGCAACCACCTAATCAAATTTGTTAATTTTTTTTTATTTGAATTCTATAGGTCCATAAAATTTAAATAAAAAAAATTTGTAGAATTTGATCAGATAGTTGCTAAGAAATCGCATAAAATCACAAACAATCACGTACAATTGATTACATCAATTTGCAAACTGCGATAAATAACTTTAAATCAAGTATTGATACATTAAAATTATAAAATCAATATAATTTTATATAATTTACATGAATTTAGTACATATAATTCTTTTTTGATTAGCTGATATGTAATGAATCGCATTGGGGCTTTGGAAAACCACATGATACAAGATTCATATAATTGTAATTGGGTGGAGATTCCTAATCAGTGTTACCATCTAGTTTGGGAGAGCAACACACATACATCCACAATTTAGCCCCGATGGTTAACAGATGATAAATATATGCTAGGTGCTGTAAAGAGTATTAATGAAGGACTTCAGGGCATCTCGTTATCCTCCATCTTTATTAAAGTCTCAATACGTAAATGTGGATAAATATTTATGCATTTATATTCATACTAACAGATCTTGAATGAATACACTTTGTACGTACGTACATAATACTAAATAAATTATTGCCCCTGATTATCGCATACTTAGATCGTAACACCGGGTCAGCCCACTGATCGCCCGGATAACCCGCGGGTTCAACCTGCCAGATCATACAGGTTATGTTTTTTGGAGAGGTCCAATCTTTATATAAACAAATAAGATACTATAATTATGTAGAAAACATTGGCCAAATATCAAGGCAATTATTTTTATTTAATTACTATAATTAGAAATTGTTCTTTTAAGGTTTAGGATTCATCAAGGTTTTGCCAGCAAGTATTGTCAGCGAAATTGGCCTATAGTGGTGCGTAGTGTACCAGTGCATTCCACTTCATCACTACATAGGTACTTTATTTTAGTTTATTTTATTGACAGTTTTTTTACATACGTATTTGTGAAGAAAATTAAAGTTGTTTTTGTGTAAAAACATTTACGTGCATACGTACATAGGTACAACATATTTATGATTAAATAAGGTCACATTAGTTTTTTTGACTTTAAGCTAAAAATACATCTTTTTACTGTATATTGTATTTTTAGCCATGAGCTCAAAGGGCGCAAAACTTCACAAACTCGGCCGGAAATATCAAAACGGCATCAATGTCGAGAAAGACGAACATAAGGCATTTGAATACTATAAAAAATCTGCAGATTTAGGACATGTTGATGGAATATATAATGTTGGATATTGTTATGATGAAGGAATTGGAGTTGAAAAGGATGAATATAATGCATTTATTTATTATCAAAAATCGGCAGAGATGGGAAGCTCTAATGGAATATGTGATGTTGGAAATTGTTATTCAAATGGAATTGGAGTTGAAAAGGATGAATATATGGCATTTGTTTATTATCAAAAATCATCAGAGATGGGGAATGCTATGGGAACAAATAACGTTGGAGATTGTTACCAAAATGGAATTGGAATTGAAAAGGATGAATATAAGGCATTAATTTATTATCAAAAATCAGCAGAGATGGGAAACGCTAGTGGAGCGTATAATGCAGGATATTGTTATGAAAACGGAATTGGAATTGAAAAGGATGAATGTAAAGCATTTAATTATTATCGAACATGCGCTGATATGAATGATTCTAATGGACTATTTGCACTTGGTAGCTGCTATTTTAAGGGATTAGGAGTTAATAAAGATGACAATATGGCATTCTTTTATTATCAAAAATCGGCAGAAATGGGAAATGTTCATGGGATAACTAATGTCGCAAATCGGTATCGATTTGGCGAAGGAGTTGAAAAAGATGATCAAATGGCATTTTTTTATTATCAAAAAGCTGCCGGAATGGGGTGTATTTGTTCGATTTATAATCTTGGAGAATGTTATCAGGTTGGAATTGGAGTTAAACAGGATTTAAAAACAGCTTTCGAATTGTATTTGCAATCTGCTGAACTTGGTCTAGTTGACGGAATAAGAAAAGTAGGGTATTGTTATCGAAATGGTATTGGAACAAAAAAAGACTTAAAAGTGGCTGAGCATTGGTTTCGGATGTAAGTTCTTTAAAAATATAAAAAATCCACCAGATACTAGATATTTATATAATAATTTATAATTCATAGGGAAAAAAACAAATTTCGAGGTATATTATTTTTTAAAAATTTTATTTATTTTACCAAATTTTCATTGATTTTAGTAATAAATAGAAATAAAGAAATTTTCTTACCGGTATTTCGATATTGATGACAATCTGAAAAACATATTGGATGACGAAAGATACCAATTATTGTGGTTTCCGTATGATAAATTTGAAAATATTGAAGAGATCGGAAAGGGAGGATTTGCAACTGTTTATCGAGCCAAGTATCTAATTGAGTATAAGGATTCTTATGATAGATATTCATTTGCGCTTAAAAAAATTCAAAATCAAGATTTTTTTGATGAGGTAAATTTATTGAATTCTCTTTAAAGAGTTATATAATTTGGTACATATGCGTTATAATTCGCCCACCTAATCATATTATAAGATCAAGTGTAATGTGAAATCGAAAGGAAAGTGAGACTTTTCTAAAAATCGCCTGTAACTCATAATTTTGCTTATGAAACTACCTTTTGCGTTCTAATAAAAAAATTCCTTGCAAAATTTTGTTATAGGAAAGTTTGTCTTTACTAATGCTCAACTTTAACCTATCTTAATGCTGACCCTTTCCTTAAATTAACGCATTGGTAGGTATGATTGAATTCACGTCACACTTGACCTTATGAGGTGCGTTACAACGCATACGCGCAAATGATATAATTCTTATTTAAATATTTAAATAAATAAATTAATAATTAATGTATTTTTTAAAGTTGAAAGCGTTTTGCGAGATCGGATATAAAAATCCATCTTTTTTAAAATGCTATGGATTATCAAAAGACAATTCAGGAAAATACGTTCTTGTTTTGGAATACGCAAAAATGGGATCTTTGAGTAATAATCTTCAAAAAGTATCACAAATGAAATGGGAAGAAAAGTTAAATTTATTAAGTTGTATAACATCAGATCTTGAAGCAATTCATTCGCAAGGATTAGAACATCGAGATCTTCATAGTGGAAATGTTTTACAAACCGAGTTAGATAACGCGTATATTACAGATTTGGGACTTTCTAATATGAAAACAGTCATGCGAGGAGTTTTACCTTATATGGCGCCAGAAGTTTTAACAAATCAAAACTTTACAAAAGCCTCAGATATTTACAGTCTCGGAATTATAATGACGGAGATATCAACAGGAAAAAAAGCTTTCAATGGTTACGAACTTAGTAACGATCTAGCCATAAATATTTGTTATTATGGATTGCAACCAGAAATTTCTACCGGAACTCCGAATTGTTATGTTGAATTAGTTAGAAAATGTATAAATTCTGATCCAAAAGAAAGACCTACCGCCAAATATGTTAATGCATTTGTGACTGCTTGGATCGAAGAACTTACGAGTGAGAGCAGTCAAAGCAATATTAAAAGACAATTCTTAGAAGCTGATACGTAACGTATATAACCAATCCTTTAATCAGTAACTGATAATACCAAGTTCTGAATAAAAAAAACACTTGGGTCCCATTTACACGAGTAAGCTCATCAACACACGAGGAATCATGAATGTATTATCAAAATTGCAAATCCAATCGATTTAGTGTGAAAATTCATTATAGTATGTGATTTTATTTGAATGGTAATTAACAAACCTGTTGATGGTGCGGAAATTCCAATCTCTAGTTAATCACATTTAGACTCGACAAAATCAATCAAAAACTTGATCAAGTCAGATATCAAAAGATAATAGATCAAATAATCATTAGAAATTAATTCAAATTATGCATTTGCATTAGCAACTTATTGCATGATGAACAGATACGAAGAATCACTAGCAGATTGAAATAAATAGTTAGAGATTGATCCAAATTATGCAGAAGCATTAGCAAGCCGTGGAGCAACTTATAGCGTGATGTATATCTGTGATCGTTTAATATCAAATTTGATAAGTATTTGAATGTCAAGTTTTTTACTGATTGTGTCGAGCACTAATTACATTAAATTAATTTTAATAACTTAGTCTTGGACCAAGTTTTGTCTAATCTAGTTTTTTTGATGGGAATCTAGTATTAAAGTCTGCATAACTGCACAAAAGTCTTATTACAAAATCACACGGTGGACATAGTGCGCATAATTGTGAAACAATTAAGTATTAATTTCAACAAATATAAAAGTTACATTATTTTTTAAAAAGCATCATAAAATCAAATTTTAGCTTTCTAAATAGGATTTTGTTAAAAGTGCACCATGCACTCGGTGCACCCCATTCAATATCTCAACGTAACCCCTATCGTGTAGCTAAAAAAAATATTCCTCTCGCAATTTTATCCTAACCCTAATTAATGTTAATTCTGATCTTTATGTGCATTAAGTACAGAGGTGCACTTTTTTAATTTTTTTCTTCTAAATATTGTATGTATTGAAACAACTTCTTGGGATGTTATTATTACCGCTCGATCATTTTTGCTACTATTCACGGAAATAAACATATAGGAAACATATGGTTTGCTCTACGCATTATCAGTTATCTGGCATGAATTTTTAATTATTTCTATAATCATGTAATTTGTTTCTTTACTATTTAAATATGGTCAGATTTATTACTCTATGATCAAATTTAATCCAAATATTTATTGACTCCTTTAAATTTATGATCGAAGCGCAAATTTAATACGATCTGATTGTTACATTCATTTCCTTCTATTTCTGTGTTTGGGTAATACTCACAAATAGCAATTCTGCAATTTAAGAGAGTATCATTAAAAATAATAAAATAACTCTAGATTTAAACTAAAATATTGTCAACGCTTTATATACACATTACTACATTATTGAATACGTTTCACTTTCTGCTTGATATTCAAAAAAGTGTCTTGCATTGTTTACAAATATCAAATAGTTCTTGAGTTGAATCATCACAGTTTTAGAGTCATGACCATCGTTTAAATCGCAAGGTTCTTGAACTGTTGGCAGCTCTGGTCCCCTTTTTTTCCAAAGTCCTCGAACTGTATTATCACAATCTTAGAGAATCATAACTCTTCATTTTCATACTTTCGGATGAGAAAGCTAGCCTAGTATCATAAATAAAAATTAGTTTCTTACAGTCATTATAAATGCTTCTTTATGCACATGACATACTTTATAGAAATTTAACTCGTATTAAACTCTTTATATGAACATAGTAATTTTACGTCCAAGCAAAGAAACAAAAGTTTATTCTAATGTTTTACATATGAACTCGCAATAATGCTGGCTTTATCAGTTTATTGACAAGCCAGTCATTTATTTAAATAAATTTAAATCAGCATAAGAAACCAGTGTTGGCATATTGTAATTTAAAATAAATGACAACTTGTCATATGACAAGTAATTTTTGTCCTAAAAATATCATTTATTTTTTTGACTACTTGTCATTTATATATCATGTTATTTTTATTAACCAATTAGGGTAGCTGCGCAGTGCATGTCATCGCAGAACCAGTACGATCACATAACAAGTTTAAAACTCATGTTCATGCCCGTCATACTGGTTTAAAATTGTTATTTTGAATGCTTCAGTTATAACACTTATTATTATTATTATTAATTAGAAAACATAAGGAATCTGCTTGTTATCAATCATGGTTTCTATGTTATAAATGTTAGGATATCTGCTTTAAATACATTAGTTTAAATTTGCTATTCATAGTTTCTAACAAATTGCACGCTAATGACTACTAAGTAAATATGTCGTAGTTTAATACTAAATTAGCCATTGTATATTTGCATGGAAAATGTATACAAAAAGAAATTACAGCCGGAACGAGAATAGGCTATATCATTATATAGCATGTTAGTGCGACTTATCACTATTACTGTATAACTAATCACAAAACAAGAGGTTCTTGCACTGCTATTGTCATGAACCCTAATTACATTATGAAATGTTTGCATTACTATCGATATTGTCTATGTACTGTACAGTACAGCATTACTGGATCTATGGCCAACGTTATTTATATAACAAAAATTACATGTCAAAAACTTACAGTAACTTTACACAAATAATAGTAATTTTTCACTCTGCGTATATATAAAAAATATATACTTTACATAAAATACTTGTTTTACAGATAATTTATAATTATAAATATCAACACCTTTAATATTTGTAACAATTTAACATTAAATTATAGAATAAAAACAACTTACAAATTTATTGCGGTTTGCATAATTTTGTGACCCCTATGATTACATAATAATGATTAAATGATTGTGATTGCGATCGCGATTGCTAAAACCGGCCAATTTATCATAAATCCAAGTTTGTGTCAAACTCAGATTTATGATAAATTGGCCGGCTTTAGCAATCGCGATCGCAATCACAATCATTTAATCATTGAAAAAAAGTAATCCTGTAATCATAGGGGGTCACAAAATTATACAAACCGCAATAATAAAATGGTTGTCGATGCTTCTCTTTAATTCTGAAATCAGCATTTAAAAATGATTACTTGCGTGTTATTAAAAAATTAAACCCCACATATCCCAGCAAAACTCCCCCACACATCCTAACTCCCCTGCACACATCCCAGCAAAACTCCTCCACACAGCCAATTAAAACTCCCTCGCACATTCCATCAGTTGCAACTAATCGATTAATCGATTAATTAATTCGTTGCAACTCATCGATTAATCGATTAGTTGTAACTAGTGATTAATCGATTATTTGCAACCAACTGAAAAAATAATTAACCAACTAACTAATCGACTGAAAAAATTTTACCGATTGTATCACTAGGTTAATGCTGAGATCAGTAGAGAATGTTTCTATACCAAAATTTTTTATACCTTTTTTTATTAGAGCATGAAAGGTCAAAATCATGAGCTACAAACGATTTTTAGAAAATTTTCTATTTTCTTTTTAATTTTACATTACAGCTGATCCTACTATTCGATTGGTTTATCAGGCGGGTGCACTTACACATATCGACGGATTTGCACAGTCTAATAAAAATAAGAACCCATCAGTTATAATTCCGGTTAAAATTATTGATCACTTGACTAGATCTGGAGTAAAATAAGCCAAATGATCGACAATTTTGACCGGAATTATAACTGATGTGTTTCTATAATAACTTTGGGTTTTTGATCCGCCGATATGATAATTCATAATAAAAATAACAGCAGAGACCATTAATGTTACACATATAGGTAATTATTTTTGAACCCGGACCAATTATATATATATGACGTAATAACATTTTTGTCTGGATTAGGGTCCGGAATCGGGCCGGGCTACCCGGGGCCCGGCCCGACCCGGCCCACAAAAGTTTTGGGTTGGGCCCGCATTTCTAGACCCGTAATTAGAAATGGGCCGGGCTCGGTTAGCCTGCTAAAATATCGGGCCTGGGCCGGGCTTTGTATAAAAAGCCCGCAAATCCTAAAAAGCCCGTTAGCTCATACAGTATATGTTTGATTTTTTTTTTAAATTAATTAACATGACTTTAAGAATCTTATAGGTAATTAATATTCCCTTCTGAAATTGTAACTGAAGTTGCAACTAGTTCCCGAAATTAGTTTATTTGCATACAATTTTAGGCTAACTTCAGGCATTAGGAACGGATTAAGGTAAATGAACGGATTAAGGTAAATAATATATTGTGTTCAAGATGAACTAAATTTTTATGTTTCCCGGTTGTGAATATTTATCGGGATATTTGTCAATTTAGATATTTAAATAAGCTATACGAATTTCATTTTATTTGCGATAATTATGTGAAGATTGAATGTCTACAAATTAAGCCATTAAAGTTCATCAATATTTCTATTTATTTTTTATTCGTAATACTTAAGCAAATGAGTATTTCAATAAAGCTATTCCAGCTCTTGAACATTTATTATTAAAATTTCATTATGTTTGAGCTAGTTAGGTGCCTGAGCATAAAGAATGTTTATTATGCTACTTTGCCTATTCGTCAACACCTACCATTAATTTACAACAGTTTGTAGTCAAATATAAAACAATTGTCAATTTAAGTATTTAAATATCACTAAGTAAAATATTTATTATTTTATTTGCAATATGAATGTATGATCTGTTTAAAAAAATCAACAAAAATTTGCACAAGTAGTACAGCAAGGGTCCCATTTTCATTTGTACATACCAACGATACTAAAAAAGAACCCACTTTTTTGATATGTACTAACGCTAAGATTAATCTATTAAAATTAATATAAATCATGAATTATGCCTGTTTTTACCTAATTGTGACTAGATTATGTGGTATATATATAATAATAAATAAGTTTTTTATTATTAATAATCATTAAAGTTTAAAATTAAATAAACCGGTATGAAAATGCACAAGGTTATAGTGCAACTCCTAGTTAAGTAAAATTATTATCATTATAACTTTAAATAATTTTCTCAAAAATCGCTGAACCAGCAATTCATTATTTATTAAATTATTTCTTTTTATGCGCAAAGATAAATTTAAATGTCTGTTCTTATCTTTGTGATCTTAATTTTTGTTTTGTCATTCAACTAATAAAATGATCTAATCGCTCATTTCAAATAAAATATAAGCATGCAAAAATAATATTTAAATTTAATATATGTATATATATATATAAACCAACAAAAAACAACAAAAAAATTAAAAAATATGGATATAGATACAACCAGTAGTGAAAGTTTGAGTAAAAATTCTGAAATAACCTCTTTAGACAAAAGTATTGATCAAATCAGTATCGAGAATAAAAATTCTGAAATAACTCCTACTATATCTAGTATCAAAAATGTAAATGCAAGGCTCCATCATGGGTTTTCACAGAGGAACACTTTACCAAACTGCCAAGTAAGGCATAATTAATCTTTTGTATATTAAAACTTTTTTTTTGTGATTACTCATACCAAATATATAATTTGTTAGATAATCATGCTCTGTGCGCATACTGTGACAATACTCTAAAATATAACAGCAATACTAAACAAGTTCTTTAATTTACCATCTAAAAAATACAAAGTGTAGTCAGTATCTTAATAAAGCAAATCAACAAATATTACCATTTTCTTATAAATTTTCTCAGGAAAACAGCCGTCAGGATTTGGTGAACATGATCATTATGCATGAATACCTATTTCGTATGGTCAAACACTGAGGATTTTTAAATTTTATTAATAACTTGCAGTTGCAATTTAGAATAATAAGTGAAAAAACAATCTGTGAAGATTGTATTAATGTTGTTGCAAACCTTAAGATAAAAGCTTATAAAATAATACATGAAGCTCCTAAAAATTTAAGTTTTATAACAGATATGTGGACGTCAAACCAAAATGTCAGATATATAGTTATTACATATATATATTCATTAATGCAGTATATTCTCTCTTCTTTTTTTTAATTGTATATTTAATTGTTATATTTTTTTACATTTTTACAAATTTTATTAGGTCATTTTATTGATAATAATTAGAATCTCTGGAAACTAATTTTAGGCTTTAGATCTGTTTCTGTGCTACATATGGAAATTACTATTAGTGATACACTTTTTGAATACTTTGACAATTCGAATACTGTATCTAGAATAAGTAGAAGTAATTAAAAAATTTCTTTATTTGTATATTTATTAATATATTTATTATTTTATAGGTGTTGGCAATTACCTTGGATAATGCAAGTAGCAACGATGCTGCAATAACTAATATAAGACGTAGCCTTAATAGGCAAAACATGGATATTTTTTGCATTAATGCTGTTGTACCCACATTTTAAATCTAATAGTTATTGATGGGCTTAAAATAGTTAAGAATATTGTTAGCAAGGTAAGCAAATTTCTTAATATCTTTTATTAAATTATAATATTATGAAGTCAATTCTTCTTAAACTACACCAGCTTCCAATGCATAAAAGTAATACAGTAAGATCTCTCTAAGTGCACCCCTCAGGACTATAGTCAAAAAAAAAGCAAAACGTGTACTTAAAGAGAGAGTGCATTTATAGAAAGCAAAATATATAATGCACTTATAAGTTGGGGCCAAGTTATGCCGTGCATTTAGAGAAAATTTACATAGTACGTGCATTTATAGAGTGTGTACTTCGAGAGGTCTTACTGTAATAATCTATTTACAATTATTTTGGTTTGTGTTTTATA